GAGCTTAGTGAGTCAAGAAACCTTTCTTTCTTTGAGTACTGGTGAGGCCACAGGAAAAGCTCCTGTACTCATTATTTCTGTGCTTATGCTGTGGGTAACGTTCAATGTAGCTGGGACCAAAATTACATTCCTTACTGACATGGGAGAGACTATTTCTTCCTTGATGATCTTCTCTTATTTGATTACCCAGTCTCTAGGCATCCTTACTGTTACTAATGGTTAGACCTAACAAGCTTATTTAACATTGATCTTAACCAGTATGATAAACACCATCTTTTTACTCACTTCTTTCTGAGCCTACCTAGTTGTTCCTTTGTCCCTCATCTTACTGTTATTCTGCAGTGACACCATGACAAGGCAACCTATAAGAGAAAGCACTTAATTGGGGGATTGCTTACAGTTTTAGAGGGTTAGTCCATAATCATCATGGCAGGAAGCAGACAGGGATGGCACTGGAACAGTAGCTGAGAGCTCACATCCTGTTGCAGAAGTAGACAGAAAGAGAAAGAGACAATGAACCTGATCAGGGATTTTGAAACCTCCAAGCCCACCTTCAATTATATACCTCTTTCAGTAAGGTCACACCTACTCCAAGGACACACTTCCTAATCCTTCAAAAACAGTTCTACTAACTGAGGACCAAGCATTCAAACATACAGACCTATGGGAGGTTCTCAGGTGATATTTATCCTTCTCAGGTCTCTGATGGGGCTGAAGACCAGATAGTTATAGTCTCCCATATAAATTATGTGGTTTAGGATTCAAGAAAATGGTTTAAGGTCTAAAAGGATGTTTATAGTTTGATATGTTAAAGTTATGATAGAAAATGATTTAGATATAGAACTTTGAACTCACCAAGATAGTGGAGTGCTTTCTCGAAAGTTTCAAAATACAAATGGACTGGATATTGTAAATAAAATTCTTACCTGAGAGTTCTCTTAATTGTTCTTGTTATATATATAGTTTACCAATATTAGAGAAAAAGCCATTTATTGGACTAAAAGAGGAAGATGTTGGGATGCCATTTTTGTACACTCTATGGAGGTGTGTCTCTATATTTGTTCCTTCCTCACCTGCCTAAGGCATTCTCTGATTGACTTGACAAAGATCTGACAGCCAATAGCTGAGGCAAAAGCCTAAGTGTTCATAAATAGATATAAGTATCTGTGTCATTATTTGGGAGCTGGTGGGTCAGAGACAGTCTAGCAATAGATTTATCTAAATTATATCTGGAGGACAAAATTTTACAACATTCCTCTCAATCCTTTGGCTCTTACTTTCATTCCATCCCCATCTTCCATGTTCCCAATGCCTTGGTGAAGAGTGTTGATATAGATTTCCCGTCTGTGGATGAGCATTTGCAGTTGCGTATTTTCAGTGCTTTGAACAGTATATGTCTCAGCATTTGACACTATAAACTGAAATAAGAAGCTTCTCTGATTAAGGTCGAGAGCTGCACCAATTTACGGATATAAGTATTTAGAAGGCAGTTTGATAGCATGAGAATTTAGAAAACAACATTAGCAGATTCTCCCCTTGGGCTTATGACTTCCCTAGCCATGGGTTTTGACCATATTTACAATACCAGGCATGAGTTCCCTCCTGCGGACACAGCCTCTAATCTTCCAATCAAGAGAGCAATTGGTTACCCCCATAAACAGTGTTGTCACTATTGCACCAATGGCGCATCTTCTAGGGTATACCTCATAAGCAGTGCCATAGGCTGGTGAACAAAGTCTTAAACACATGAACATTTTGGGGGAAATTTTAGATCTAAGCTGTAGTATTCTCCATGTATTATATACATATAAAACCACAGAAACTATTTAGATTGAATTTATAATCAAGATGGAAACTGAAAGTAAAGATTTGGAAATTTCTCAGCCTGTCCATGTAAAGAATAAAGCATGTGATGAGAGAGGAAAACCAGGGATATGGCCAAAGGATCTCTTGGTAAGGAGATCAGAATGAATAAAAAGAAGTTAGGTGCAATTTGTTATGACAGTGGAGAACGCCACACACTTCACAGGTCAAGCAAGAGTCCCAGGACCTTGAGAAAAAAATGATTTAAAAGGAAAATTCCAGACCACTAGAAAGTAATGGGGAGGCTGGATGCCTTGATTTTTTTTTTACTTACTGCCCAAGGCCACTTCATGTCTCTATTTAACCACATTGGATAGTATTCTTTGCCTATTCTACCTGTGGTTTTTAAAGGCCAGAGGGCAGCTTAATCTATTACTCCAGAAGGCATAGATCATAAACCTTGACAGCATCCACATAGTTTTAACTCTGCAGGCACACAGGATGCATAAGCTGTGGAGGTACTACTACGTTCATCTAGATTTCTGAGAATGTCTTAGAGGCCCACAGGAATCAGGTAGGGAATGCTATAGGAGTGAGACTGCTCCAGAAATGCGAACTCCCAGAACAATCCAAGAGGGGACCTTGTATTAAGGCCACTATATAATGTCCACATAAAGGACTCGTGGAGTTGTGGAAATAGGTCTATCTCCAAGAAACCAGAACTTCAGAGTCACTGTGTGCTGAAACAATTGCAGATATGATATTCCCCCAATCAGTGAGACACATGGCATAGGCTCTTCCTAGAAAACTTAAGGGAGTAAAGCCTCTTAGAAGTTTGGGAATCATCTTGGGACCATCAATTGGGTTATTTTTGCTTATTTCTTTTGGTCCCTGGGCCTTAAATAAGCTGACTAACTTTATGAAACAACAGATAGATAATTTGGTAGTAAAACCTATTCAGATACATTTATCATAAGTTAGCTATGGAGGACCACGAGACTCAAGATGAGGTTGTCACTTTATACAGGGTGTTCCCAAAACCCATCTCCACCCAACATAAAAGAGGGGACTTCCTGCCCTAGACCAAGCAGAGACCACTCAGAACCCCCTCTGACTGGCGATCTGAATTCTTGCTTAGGCTGCGAGGCTAAGCACTGCAAGGGAATATAAATAAAAGATAAAAATATCTCTCTGGATTCCCTGAGGGACAAGCCTGACTGCATAGGTGTTGATGTCAAAAAGTATCCCCTCTCCAGAAAAAAGACATCTGGATGGGTATGGGCCTCATGCCTCACTGGATAACTAAAGGGGGACCAGAGCCATTACAAAGTCCCCTTCAATTACTGGAGGTCAGGCCTCTATCCCCACCTTTGCAAGACTAGAATCACCATGGCCCTTCTATACTTGGAGAAGGGAGGAGATGTCAGAGGCAGCCCTGCTTACACACTGAAGGCCGAAAATCAGCCATAGGCCTAAAATCAGCAATAGGCCTGATGTACATGCATGCTAAGACAAAGTCTTGGGTCTCTGTGGAAAAACATTGAAACAGATGGCTATAAGCTATTGTAAACAGGCAGTTTTGTGACAATTTACCAGCCTGAGTAGTCATAGACCTTGTAAATAGGTAGCCTTAGTGGATAGTACCAACTTAGATAAGGACAAGTGACTCATAGGCAGAGTCATAGTGACCTGTCCCCTGAACCTTCACCCAGCCAATACCCTGTTCTGAAAGATATCTGTAATCTCCCTGAACATCTATGCTCCAGTGTCATCCCCTCCCCACATCCTGCCTTTTTGTATTTATAACTCCTGTGTGAATAAATAAAAATTACAATTTGATTTAAAAAATAAAAAAAAATAAAAAAATAAAAAAATCTCAAAAAAAAGAAGTTTGGGAATCTAATTACATTCCCATGTGTTTAAAAGGGAGGCATGGGATCAAAGAAGATTGCTTTCAAGCCTGAAGATTTAATACTGTCTAGTCTGCTGGGTATTGGACTTACCAGTGACCTGTTATTCTTACTTTGTTCATGTTGTTCCTTCTTGGACTGAGAGTGTTTCACAGATATCTATCTCACCATTGCATTTTGAAAGCACATAATTGTTTGATTTCACAGCCTCACATGGGAGGAGAATTTGCCTTAATATTGCACCCATAATCCTATGTTAAAGTACTGGTGGGAAGAGGAGAGATTTTAAAGAATGATATTCATGCCTGTCCCTTTGGCTACCAGACTGTCACAACTATTTTTAAACTTGCAAAATAATTGTTCTTAACCGGAATGAAATAGTTGGAGTATCTGACATCCACAGAAAAGATACCAAAACCCTCCATTCTACATAGCTATCAAAGGCATGGACATAAGGAAAAGGAACTCTCCCAGACCAGGACTGGGTGAGAGTCTTATATCCCACAAAAAAACCCCAAAAAACCAACAATCCTTTACTTTTTCAAAATGAAGAAACATTAAGACTCCCATTTTCCTTGGCTAGGACAAATAAAAAACTGTCTCTATAATTAAACCTGAAAAAACCTGAAACAGGCTTACATTCTTTTTCACTGAGGAAAGTACTGGATAACCTGCCCCAAACTTGAGTTTACATATTTTCTACCCCTTGTTCCATGTCTTTCTAGAAATTATAAGACAGCCAAAGGCTTGTTGCGAAGGAAATTAGGTTTCTTACTCCCTCAATTTGGCTAGACTATAAATAAATACATATTCCTTTACCAATTTCTGTTTCACAATTTAAAAAAAAAATACAGTGAAACCAAGATGGGAGATTATGTTCTTAAACATCTGACAACAACAAGCAAATCACCGTAAGAATCTGAAAGAAATAAGTGAAGACCATCTTCAGAAACTACTTGCTTACTCAATGAGGAACTGAAGTTAAGCTACACAAAGATGTCAATGGTACCATAATCACTCTTTCTGTGTAGCAGGAGAAATTAGCTTCTCACAATAGGCTAGGACAAATATCAACTCTTTTCTGACCAGATAAAGCATTTAAAAAAATAGAGTTTAAAAATAAAATAATGCTTGAATTTAAACTATGCTGCTGTCCCTAGTTCTCTATCTTAGGCAGCCCTAAGGAAGCTACAAGAGGAAGAACAAATCTCATAGTAGGTGTTGTGATGTCAGACATTCTGTAACCTCTGAACTCTGCTTCTAAAGGACTAGATCTGCTGTTACCTTGGGATTTCCACAACAAAGCTCTTGCCAGTTGAGTCAAAATGAAGGCTCTATTTTGGCTTTACCATGTTTTGTGTTTTGCTTGCTACTGCTATGCTGGTAAGTCATAGATACCTGGACATCTTCATGTATTTTTCTGTCCCCTTTATGTCCAAAAACCGTTCTTCTGTTCTTCTCATCCTTATTTTACTTATCCATTTCTGAATTAGTGCAGCCTCCTTCTTTACCACCACTCTCTTCTCTGACTGCTACATTTATACATCCACTTCCCTTCCTTTTACTTTCTTCTCTCTCCCATGACCTTCTGCCCCACCTTTTTAATTTCTCTGCATCAGGTGTGACACCTTTGCCTATCTTTCCTCACATAAACCTTACTTTCATTTAGTTTAAATGCTCAGAGAAAAAGACATGTAGCATCACGTTGTTGTCATGATGGAAATACCACATTCACATCTACTCACATAGAAGATAAATCACACATGAAAAGAAGTAAGGACACATTAAATATGCAACAGAAACTTTCTAGCTGAATTTGAGTATATTAACTAAAAGCTCAGATCTTCAGTATTCAAAATGTTTTTAATGTTATGTTCATCATTCCTATTCCTATCATACCCCCTTTTCAGTGCCCCAAGTGCCAAGAATGAGTGTATATACAAGCTCATTGACTGGAAATATATCACCAATGAATAGCTACATTGATATACCATGGTTGGCATCTATGCCTGGAAATTGCCAGGGTATTGTCCTGACTCCATGGCTGATTCTTTCTACAGCTAACTGTCTGAAGAAATCGTGAGTATGGAGGAGAAAAAATGTTCTTGGGTCTTCTTGGATATAGTTAAGTGAATTTTCCTTTTTCAGGACTCCTGTTAGTAAATTATTCAGAGAAACTGGAGAAGATGCTGATAAGGATCACTTTTTGGTTATTAAAATCATGTAATAGGTTTTTACTATTATGTAGCCTACATATTTTCTGTCTTCTCACACCTTATTTTTCCATTTCCTTCTCCCTCATTCATTCTTTTGAAAATCAATTGAATATCCATCATTTTCATGCTCAAAACTAATTTCTGAGGAGTCAGAGATAAGTGGATTAGTGGTTAAATTGTGCCTGTAATCAAGCCTGATGCCCTCAGTTTGATTCCAGGAAAGAGAATGAACTCCTGCAAGTTGTTCTGAGTGCCATGCACTTGCTGTCACTTGTGTATTATAAGGGTCTGAAAATCACTAAAGGAAGACTCCAGACTCAGTATGCAAAAACAAAGAACGCTTATTCTGCAGAAACATCCAGCATGAGGGAGTCAACCATTCTCTAAAATGGTGACCCCACACAAAGGCATGCAGGCCTTCTTATAGGGAACCAGGGAACTCTCTAGAAGGATAGGTGATATAAAATTTCATTAGTGGGTGATGGGGGTTCATAGGTGGTCAGTAGTCTACATTCCTATGTCATGAATGTTCAACCATGTGATGAAATAGGGCTGTCCAGTGTAGATGGCCCATTCTGAGATAAGATACTATGTCCATTTTAGCAGAATAATTGTTGTAGGTTCTTGTGGATCCCCACGCTCATGGATTGTTAGCTGATTCAATCCATAAGGACAAAGGGAACGGAGATGTCAAACAGGGGGTTCAGAAGCCTATGAGTACATGTGGTGAATAAGCCTCACAGGGACCCACAGTCAGTAGGCAGCCTTCATTTGCTTGGGCTATGTGGTTGGATGTGGTGGCAAGTAGGCAAGCAGATGACAGTTTATGTTTCAGGGTTCCTATTTGGAGTTCCAGATTAGGCTGTATGGGGTCCTAGATTGTTGCAGGGTGAGGTGGGTTGTTGTGGGACGTGGCTTTGGTTCCTATCTCTGTAGTCTTTAATAGCAACGTAATTTCTCCTTACAAAACCACATGTTGCTACTCAATAGGATTATACATGAATCAACAGTTGTTTTTTCATGGAAAAATTTATTTAACTTTTACTAAGGGAATACCAAACATTCACAAATGAAGAGAAAAGTAAAATTAAACCTCACACACTCATTACTCTATTTCAGTAATAATTACCATGCCATTCTTCTTTCCATTGTGATTTTACCCATATAATTTGATTTTAATCCCTTAAATAAGTGGGCTTTTTTGTTGAAAACAACTTTTTTTTTTATACAATATATTCTGATCATGTTTTCTCCTCCCAGTTATCCAACTCCATGCTTTCCTTCTCTCTCTCTCTCTCTCTCTCTCTGAAAAAAAAAGCCTCCACAAAAAAAAACAAAAAAGAAACAAAGAAAAGGCATATGAAACACACACACACACACACACACACACACACACACTCAGAAACAAAACAAAACAAAACAAAACAACCCAAATTGGAAACTGTATAAGAAAAGCAATACGAGATGAAAAAGTCTACAAAAATACCATTGTGGGTTTTGTTGGCTGTCTACTGCTGGTGAAATTCCATTGACAAAAACTTAAGTTTTCCTTTTGAAGAGGTTGTCAATTGGATAACTTCTTGGTTATCAATGACAGGTTGTATTGTAGAGTGAAAATTATAGATACTGGGTATATAGAATCCTTTTTAGACATAAAATATTCTTTAGGCTTTCTTTGCAAAGACATGGAGGCATGAAGCAAGAATGTGGACAGACTAATTACGGGAACTGTCTGGAATGCAATTTAGTCAGGTGAAACCAAGCTGAGAACCATAGTGACAGGGCAAGGCCGAAGTGACAGGGCAAGGCCGAAGTGACAGGGTAGGACTACATTCTTGAGAAAGATAAGCGTACAGAGAGTTTTCACCTGATCCTGACTCATGTAGGTTGGGTTCCTTTGGAATGTTCCACTATTTTTATGTTATACCACCCTAGCAACCCCCTCACCCCCTCCTCATTTCCTTGGTTTGTGGTTTTTCCCTTTAAAACCCGTTCCAAACTGGCAGTCGGGGTCAATTCAGCTCCTGCGTGGGCATGCGAATTGACCGGCAGCTAGTTGTCACGCCCTAATAAATAACCTCGCAATTGCTCCGGTATATGGTGTCTCGAGTAGATTACTGGGTGGTCGCGACTTTCTGAGACTTGAGAGAGGGTCTCCCCTCTGCGGAGGTCTTCAGTATCTACTTTCCCCTCTCAGCACTGGGATTACATCTGGCTTGAACTTGTGGAAATCCTATATATGACGCCACAGTCTCTGTGGATTTCTATGTTTTAGCCCTGTTGTGGAAGACACTGTTTCCTGGGTGTAATTCATTGCAGAATTACCCCACCTCATTTTCTACATAGCTTTCTGAGCGCTAAGGGGAGGGGTTTGATGGTTATATACCACTTAAGACTGAGTGTAAATGAAAGGAAGATATGACTACTCCAAGGCATGGTTGAGGAGAAAGTTTTTATTGTAGATATGAGGGAGATATAGTCAGAGGTGTCAGGAAGAGTACAGAGCAGTCATAGAAAGAAGTAGACTGAACATGGCCAGTAGACTAAACTGGGCCATGAGAGGAGAGAAAGGGGGAGAGAGAGAGGAAGAGAAAGGAGCAAAGGAGGGCAAAGCAAAGACAATTGAAAGTGGAGCCAAGAGACCATATAGCCAAAATGGTAGGTTTTTTTAAAAATAGGAATTAGAAGCTGGAGTAGGGGAAGGGAAGAGAAGGGAAGGGGAAACCAGCTGTTTATAGAGGCTTAGGATAGGTGGTAAAGGTGAGAAGATCTGAGAGGAGCAATAAGTAGGCACCCCAGGCAGCCTTTTGTCCTTAGGACCTGACATTCCAGTCTTTTTGTCAATGACAAAGGCAACATAATCTCTTGTAATTGCTTCTTTGCAGAAATCAGGGAGTCATTGTCAAGAGGAGGATGGAAGACATTTGTTTTCCTTGCTGCCTAGATCCTGTGGAACCATCTGGGGCTAGCCTCTTTGGAGCAATCTGGGAGGCAGGTTCCTAAGAAATACCAGGAGGCTGACTGACACGTAGGAAGCATCTAGTTTACATCTGCTTTCAGCAATTCTAGGGAACGTCTGTTTTAATTTGGAGCAGTTTGCAGTCTGCAGTTCATTGGAAATCTGATAGGACTTGCCTGGACTTGCCAAGTTCTTGGAAACAGAGATTTAGGTCTAGTTTCCTGAACTCCCAATTTGAAGCCTGCCATGAAATGAGCCTAGCCTGTCTCAGTTTAAACTCTTGAACTTTTCAAGCCTTAGTATAAAAGTAGCAGAGCAAAAGGGAAAGCAATCTGAAATACTCCTCATTTTTCACATACCTTAAATCACTTTCTTATACCTTTACAACCTTCTTTTATAGTTTACTTTCTTACACCCTCAAAACTTAACATTTCACATCCTCAGACCCTTACAACTTGCAATTACATACATTAATTTACTTTCCCAGAGCCCCACAACTTATATAAACTTCAAAACCTTTTCTTCCCACTCATTTATCTTGAGACACAAGTTGCTGATTTCTGAGAGCAGTCATTAGAAAACAAGTTCCTTTAAATAAAGTAATAGTTTAAAAGTTACATTGAAACTTGCCAGCAAGATAAAATGTGTCTTCTTTCTCAGCATGAAACCTAGTAGCTCTAGAAAAAGGGGGTCTGATTTTACACACGAAATGGTTGACCAGGCAGCTGCTGCTTGGGGAAGGAGCTGAGTGCTTACCAATGCAAAACTGACAAAGGTGTAGTTAGCCATCAACATCATTAGATCTAAGAAAGATAAATTATCCAAATAATCACCCAAATGTTTTCTGTATCATTTGAAAAGATAGGCATTTCACTACCTGGAAAGTTACCCTAGGCTCCCAGATTATGGTCTCGATAGTTTTGTTGTGGGCAGAAGTAGTTGGTCTTTGGCTGTCACACAGAACAGCATTCCGTTTTCGGCTGCCAAACAAGACATCATCAGCTTTCAGCTGCCAGACCCAGAATGTCTGAGAGATTTTCCTTAGCAGGAAGAACTTGGGAAAATTTACCCAAGTGAGGCAGACAGATTAGGGCAGTCAAGCTAACGGTGTCCGGTGTCCGCAGTTTGGACAGACCTCTGGTGCTGGGTGAGGAGGCATGGAACAGTTTTTCCAAGTTGTTGGCATTACCATAATCCAGGTAGAATCATCTGTGTTTCACTATCTTCTTTGGAGACCTTAGAGTTACTTGTAGGGGCTGGCATTTCTGTCTATCACTGGAAGCTTTTAATAAACACTTCAAACGCCACACTCAGCAGATCTTTGAGGAGTTTGAGGACTATCTATTATTACTTGTTTTTAGTTACTTGCTTTAGGCTTAATCTTGAAAACACACACAGAAGGCTAAATAAACTTTATGTGTATAAAATGAATTAGCATGATTGTGAGCATAGTTCTGAGTACATTAAAGAGTTTGATCATGAAGTGACGGATCACTTAACTAACTTGCATGTCTTATGTATATTTAACAGTTTACAAGTTGATAGCTTTTATAAGATTAGTATTTTATTGCTTTATCTCTGTTAAAAATTTGAGTTGAAGATTTAATTGAAGAACCTTCAGCATCAAAATAAAACTTTAAACTGTAAGTGCAGTCTCCAGAGAAACTGAGAACTTTATTTTTATTTTTATTTTTTTTTTTGTTTTTTCAAGACAGAGTTTCTCTGTGTAGCCCTGGCTGTCCTGGAACTCACTCTGTAGACCAGGCTAGCCTTGAACTCTCGAACTCAGAAATCCACCTGCCTCTGCCTCCCAAGTGCTGGGATTAAAGGCGTGCGCCACCACCGCCCAGCAAAACTGAGAACTTTATAAAACATAAACATAGCCCACATAAAGACTAGAAATC